TTCATGAGACTAAAAAGTTGTTCTATTTCGATTTTAAAAATGTTCGAACCATTTTAAATTCAAATTTGTTATTGCATATTGGTTCGATTATAGAACGATTGTAAACGTTACAGAAAATTGATCAAATTGAAAACAGTTCATTTGATTCCCAGCAATTCTCATCATTCTCAGTGGTAGGTGTTATATAACAATTACTATGGTTGTTGAAATACTGAATATAAATGGGGTTTGCTTGCAAAATCCATGCAGGCAAAGTCACAGGTAATAGCTAGTATTATTAATATAATAGTAATAACAGAAAATTTTCTGGAAAAATTACCAGTTATATCTATTAATAATGTAATTTATCAGCTGTTGAATTATTTGTAACATAAGGATCTACATTGGATTCATATATCAATCCCTAAAGCAGGAGCAGCTTTGGTCTATAACTTTGAATCTTTTCAAATTGTGCTTTAAAAAAAAACAAACTTCCTTACATCTTGTGAGAACTGAATTTTTTGGAAAGCTGCTGTTATTCCATTAAATTAATAACAGAGCCTCATAATTTATTATGAGTAATTTGAGTCAGAAAATCAGTTCCTATCTATCTCTCTCATACTGGTTAAACCTAATGGATAAAACTGTGGCCAACACACAACTTTTGCTGTGTTGGCAAGTCAATGAATAAACTAGTACATAACTACATTGCTAGTTTCAATTTGTCTATTATAGAATTCAACTGATCCACAATGATGTTGATTGATAAAGGACCAGGAACAATCTGGTCTATAATCCTTAAAAATATCACAAATCTCCAGAGCAGATCTAAACTCAGAATATTCATGATAAGAATGTCTCATAAATTCCAGAAAAAATTTTTAATAAATTATTTTCTGCAAAAGAAAAAAATCTTTACTCAAATTTTTGAAAATAATTATTTCTTTCATCAAATTTGATATTGTTTATTAAATATTGTTTGTTTAATTAAAATAAAATTTGTTTTTAAATTGATCATGTTAGTTCATAATACAATATTAAATTACTATTATATTATTAGAAACAAATAGTAATTTAATAATAATATATTTATTATGTACATTTGTTGTATATTTATTATTAATTATTGTATTTATTATAAATAAATACAATAATAAAATGTAAAGAGATATAATTTCTGATAAATTTTATTATAACAGAATTTAATAAATATTCATAAATACATTTTAAAAAATACTTTAATTTCTATTCTAAAATAACATTTTAATATATCAAACTTGTTTAGGATGATATTAAAAAGGTTATTGTCCTTCACTGCTAGTAAATTTTCTTATTTCTGCATAAGTGATATAACCATCTCTATTCTCATCATGTTCTAAGAATGAATCAATGGCAGCTGCAAAATATTAATAATAATCAATCTTAAATAAATTACTTGCTTATAATTAAATTATTATTATGTAACAAGATTAAATGGTGAAGTAATTCTTATTAACAAAGTTTTTATATTAATTTCTTATCAAATAATCAAACAGTTTTAATTCTGAAAATTTTGTAACTTTGCAAATATCTTAAATAGCATATTTTGCATAATCTACATTTTCTTTTGTATCAAAACCTAGACAAATTGTTGAAAATATAAAGATTTCAAGATTATTTCCTAAATAGAAAGTATACTTAGTAAAGAACTAAACAACCTCAAGAAGTTCACAATAATGTTACAAATGAAAATAAAAGTTCTATGTTTACACAAGGACTATTTTATTTGCAGTGGCTTTATTAATTCTAAAATAAAACAAATGTATAATGGTCACAGTTTGATGAAGATCCATGAAGGTGGAGACACTCCACCTTCATGGACAACTTGCCATCAAACTTCTTGGACAAGAGGCAATGACATAGTGAACAGCATCATTTTTAGCCAGTATCTACAGAAATCATTCTAAGGCAGAAAATGATTCTATCAACATCTTGGAAGTGCTTGCCTCTAAGAAATAATTACATTTTTCATTTTTGAGGAAAGATCAAAGTCAAATGGACTCATATCAGGTGATTATGGTGGGTATTCTAGTATTTTGCAGTGTTATGTGCTTAGCAATGTCCTAACTTGTGACAATAGTGGCTGCATGCATTATATGCAAGACAATTCATTGCATATGATTGTAGAAACTGTGGCCTTCTTCAACAAGATACGTAACATTTGAATTGCATATCTACTTTAGTACTCATTTCTTGGCAAGTCCATCAACAATCATTCTTTCAATAACCTCAAAATGGCTTCCACAGTTGTTCATCTGTTGTAGTAACTGGATAGCTGCTATCATGCAAAAATCTCAGTATTCTCCAATCCATGGCAAAAGGCTTCCATCTATCAGGCAACAGTATATGATAGTGCAATATCACTATATGCCTCACAAACTTTGTGACACTGCTGGACATTTCATCCATGTACAATCTGAATTTTGGCATAATGTCATTACTTTTGGTAAATAAACATTACTTAAGATAAAACAATAAACACTTAAATGTTTGATGTTCTCCTATTTCTCAGCCAAATTTAAGTGAAAACAAAAAGTACAACACACAATACATGAACAGTCGAAAAAATTAATTTTATTTTAAATTACAGATAATATCCAATGGACAAGAAAGAACTGTCCCAATAATTTGTTATTGGGGTTGATTTATAATTGGAAGTAATAATTGGTTGATAAAAGCACTAAAGCAACAACAAAAATGTGCAAAATGCAAAAATCTTTGGTGAGCTTTTGACAATTTGCCAATTTATGGTCAATTTCCAGTAATGTTGCCAGATAAAAAATATAGTCCCTATAAATTAAAACTTAGAAATGCATGCACTTGAGCACAAACTTTTCACAACCTAAAATACCATAATTTCCTGTGAATAATCTACAGCAGCATTTAACCACACTGGTGTAACTTATCTTACAAAAAATTTCTAGAATGGAAATAAAACCGTCAGATAACCAACACCTCAATAATAGTAGTTGCAACTAACACTTTCCGTGCAGTTTGGAAGCCACAAGTATTAGTTGGTATGTGCAATATCAGTTCATTATGTCATGTGTTGCATAAAAATCAAGTTTAAACATAAACTTTTCTTTCTCAATCCATACAAAGACTTCTTTGCTCAACAATAAGAACTTCCAAAAAAAGAAACCCAAGGAAACAATATGTAGAAAATAAATATATAGTTGGCCTGTATCCATGGAATGAAAAAAAAAAAAAATCCAAAAATTTTCAAAAAGCACAACTTGAATTACTTGTATTTTAAATATTCTATTTTACTTTATGTATCTCTCTTTCAGTTCATTAAACATAAGCAATCTACAGATATTGAAAAAAGAAAACACAGATACACCACCAAATTTCCAGCAACTGATGGCCCAGCACCTTTTAATCCAGACAAAATTACAAGAAGGAACTTAAAATTTCCATGCCAGTAGACTAGTTTATTGGCTGGCCACAGATACATTGTGTGTATGGTATGCTTATTTACACTGCACTTGGTGGTGATACCATAGTTATGAGATGTTCTTAGTTTATTTTTCTTAAATTAAAACCTAGATATGGCTTCTAAGGGATGACAGTGTCAGTGGTGGTGTCAAGCAATTTATATTTAATATTTATTTAATTCAAATTTCTACTAGTTCATGGTATACTATGTTAGACACATGGTCTGTCCATGTGTCTAAACACATGGAAGGAGTATAATCTGTGAGTTAGAGATGTGTTGATGAATTATTATTATATGTGACCATGGTTAGTCTGCCAAAATTGTTAATCTGGCAAGACGTTGGAACCAATGGTATTAGAAATTTGCTGATGTACACTANTAATAATAATATATTTATTATGTACATTTGTTGTATATTTATTATTAATTATTGTATTTATTATAAATAAATACAATAATAAAATGTAAAGAGATATAATTTCTGATAAATTTTATTATAACAGAATTTAATAAATATTCATAAATACATTTTAAAAAATACTTTAATTTCTATTCTAAAATAACATTTTAATATATCAAACTTGTTTAGGATGATATTAAAAAGGTTATTGTCCTTCACTGCTAGTAAATTTTCTTATTTCTGCATAAGTGATATAACCATCTCTATTCTCATCATGTTCTAAGAATGAATCAATGGCAGCTGCAAAATATTAATAATAATCAATCTTAAATAAATTACTTGCTTATAATTAAATTATTATTATGTAACAAGATTAAATGGTGAAGTAATTCTTATTAACAAAGTTTTTATATTAATTTCTTATCAAATAATCAAACAGTTTTAATTCTGAAAATTTTGTAACTTTGCAAATATCTTAAATAGCATATTTTGCATAATCTACATTTTCTTTTGTATCAAAACCTAGACAAATTGTTGAAAATATAAAGATTTCAAGATTATTTCCTAAATAGAAAGTATACTTAGTAAAGAACTAAACAACCTCAAGAAGTTCACAATAATGTTACAAATGAAAATAAAAGTTCTATGTTTACACAAGGACTATTTTATTTGCAGTGGCTTTATTAATTCTAAAATAAAACAAATGTATAATGGTCACAGTTTGATGAAGATCCATGAAGGTGGAGACACTCCACCTTCATGGACAACTTGCCATCAAACTTCTTGGACAAGAGGCAATGAACATAGTGAACAGCATCATTTTTAGCCAGTATCTACAGAAATCATTCTAAGGCAGAAAATGATTCTATCAACATCTTGGAAGTGCTTGCCTCTAAGAAATAATTACATTTTTCATTTTTGAGGAAAGATCAAAGTCAAATGGACTCATATCAGGTGATTATGGTGGGTATTCTAGTATTTTGCAGTGTTATGTGCTTAGCAAATGTCCTAACTTGTGACAATAGTGGCTGCATGCATTATATGCAAGACAATTCATTGCATATGATTGTAGAAACTGTGGCCTTCTTCAACAAGATACGTAACATTTGAATTGCATATCTACTTTAGTACTCATTTCTTGGCAAGTCCATCAACAATCATTCTTTCAATAACCTCAAAATGGCTTCCACAGTTGTTCATCTGTTGTAGTAACTGGATAGCTGCCATCATGCAAAAATCTCAGTATTCTCCAATCCATGGCAAAAGGCTTCCATCTATCAGGCAACAGTATATGATAGTGCAATATCACTATATGCCTCACAAACTTTGTGACACTGCTGGACATTTCATCCATGTACAATCTGAATTTTGGCATAATGTCATTACTTTTGGTAAATAAACATTACTTAAGATAAAACAATAAACACTTAAATGTTTGATGTTCTCCTATTTCTCAGCCAAATTTAAGTGAAACAAAAAGTACAACACATAATACATGAACAGTCAAAAAAATTAATTTTATTTTAAATTACAGATAATATCCAATGGACAAGAAAGAACTGTCCCAATAATTTGTTATTGGGGTTGATTTATAATTGGAAGTAATAATTGGTTGATAAAAGCACTAAAGCAACAACAAAAATGTGCAAAATGCAAAAATCTTTGGTGAGCTTTTGACAATTTGCCAATTTATGGTCAATTTCCAGTAATGTTGCCAGATAAAAAATATAGTCCCTATAAATTAAAACTTAGAAATGCATGCACTTGAGCACAAACTTTTCACAACCTAAAATACCATAATTTCCTGTGAATAATCTACAGCAGCATTTAACCACACTGGTGTAACTTATCTTACAAAAAATTTCTAGAATGGAAATAAAACCGTCAGATAACCAACACCTCAATAATAGTAGTTGCAACTAACACTTTCCGTGCAGTTTGGAAGCCACAAGTATTAGTTGGTATGTGCAATATCAGTTCATTATGTCATGTGTTGCATAAAAATCAAGTTTAAACATAAACTTTTCTTTCTCAATCCATACAAAGACTTCTTTGCTTAACAATAAGAACTTCCAAAAAAAGAAACCCAAGGAAACAATATGTAGAAAATAAATATATAGTTGGCCTGTATCCATGAAATGAAAAAAAAAATCCAAAAATTTTCAAAAAGCACAACTTGAATTACTTGTATTTTAAATATTCTATTTTACTTTATGTATCTCTCTTTCAGTTCATTAAACATAAGCAATCTACAGATATTGAAAAAAGAAAACACAGATACACCACCAAATTTCCAGCAACTGATGGCCCAGCACCTTTTAATCCAGACAAAATTACAAGAAGGAACTTAAAATTTCCATGCCAGTAGACTAGTTTATTGGCTGGCCACAGATACATTGTGTGTATGGTATGCTTATTTACACTGCACTTGGTGGTGATACCATAGTTATGAGATGTTCTTAGTTTATTTTTCTTAAATTAAAACCTAGATATGGCTTCTAAGGGATGACAGTGTCAGTGGTGGTGTCAAGCAATTTATATTTAATATTTATTTAATTCAAATTTCTACTAGTTCATGGTATACTTTAGACACATGGAAGGTGTATAATCTGTGAGTTAGAGATGTGTTGATGAATTATTATTATATGTGACCATGGTTAGTCTGCCAAAATTGTTAATCTGGCAAGACGTTGGAACCAATGGTATTAGAAATTTGCTGATGTACACTATGTAGTTATTATGCCTATGATGGTTGCACCTATATTGAACATGTACAGACACAACTTTGCTTTACTTGTCATTATTCTCTAAACATACAGTATAACAACTGTTCATACAGCATTTACACTGTATTAGATAATGTATCAATAAGTTGTTTAGAGACAATTTAAAGTATATGACAAATGTGCATAACCTTTATGCAAATGCAACAAGTTCTTTAACTGGACATGCAACGGGTAAAGGTTGTCCGATTGTCCGAGTTCTTATACAAAAATCCATGTTAGTGAGATGTTTTCTCTGATAAAGTAGAGAACAAGAAGGTAGACACAGCACAGTAATTTATTACAATCAGCTCTGCATAGAAGTTTTACTGAGCTTTAGTGGGTTATGTTGCTGAATTTATTATTACAAAAATGAGCTTTAAAAATTTCATGATAGTACAGTGTACAACAATATCCAGTCTTCAGTAACTTATCAACTACATTAATATAATGCATGATACCACTTGTTAATTATAATTTTTTATTGTGAAGAAAGTTTAAATTGCTGTACAATTTTGAAAAATTTATCTGAAATTAAGTCTAATTTATGACCATTCCTACACAGATACTAAGAAACAATTGTATTATATATATGAAATAATTACATTTTTCATTTTTGAGGAAAGATCAAAGTCAAATGGACTCATATCAGGTGATTATGGTGGGTATTCTAGTATTTTGCAGTGTTATGTGCTTAGCAAATGTCCTAACTTGTGACAATAGTGGCTGCATGCATTATATGCAAGACAATTCATTGCATATGATTGTAGAAACTGTGGCCTTCTTCAACAAGATACGTAACATTTGAATTGCATATCTACTTTAGTACTCATTTCTTGGCAAGTCCATCAACAATCATTCTTTTAATAACCTCAAAATGGCTTCCACAGTTGTTCATCTGTTGTAGTAACTGGATAGCTGCCATCATGCAAAAATCTCAGTATTCTCCAATCCATGGCAAAAGGCTTCCATCTATCAGGCAACAGTATATGATAGTGCAATATCACTATATGCCTCACAAACTTTGTGACACTGCTGGACATTTCATCCATGTACAATCTGAATTTTGGCATAATGTCATTACTTTTGGTAAATAAACATTACTTAAGATAAAACAATAAACACTTAAATGTTTGATGTTCTCCTATTTCTCAGCCAAATTTAAGTGAAACAAAAAGTACAACACATAATACATGAACAGTCAAAAAAATTAATTTTATTTTAAATTACAGATAATATCCAATGGACAAGAAAGAACTGTCCCAATAATTTGTTATTGGGGTTGATTTATAATTGGAAGTAATAATTGGTTGATAAAAGCACTAAAGCAACAACAAAAATGTGCAAAATGCAAAAATCTTTGGTGAGCTTTTGACAATTTGCCAATTTATGGTCAATTTCCAGTAATGTTGCCAGATAAAAAAAATAGTCCCTATAAATTAAAACTTAGAAATGCATGCACTTGAGCACAAACTTTTCACAACCTAAAATACCATAATTTCCTGTGAATAATCATCTACAGCAGCATTTAACCACACTGGTGTAACTTATCTTACAGAAAATTTCTAGAATGGAAATAAAACCGTCAGATAACCAACACCTCAATAATAGTAGTTGCAACTAACACTTTCCGTGCAGTTTGGAAGCCACAAGTATTAGTTGGTATGTGCAATATCAGTTCATTATGTCATGTGTTGCATAAAAATCAAGTTTAAACATAAACTTTTCTTTCTCAATCCATACAAAGACTTCTTTGCTCAACAATAAGAACTTCCAAAAAAAGAAACCCAAGGAAACAATATGTAGAAAATAAATATATAGTTGGCCTGTATCCATGAAATGAAAAAAAAAATCCAAAAATTTTCAAAAAGCACAACTTGAATTGCTTGTATTTTAAATATTCTATTTTACTTTATGTATCTCTCTTTCAGTTCATTAAACATAAGCAATCTACAGATATTGAAAAAAGAAAACACAGATACACCACCAAATTTCCAGCAACTGATGGCCCAGCACCTTTTAATCCAGACAAAATTACAAGAAGGAACTTAAAATTTCCATGCCAGTAGACTAGTTTATTGGCTGGCCACAGATACATTGTGTGTATGGTATGCTTATTTACACTGCACTTGGTGGTGATACCATAGTTATGAGATGTTCTTAGTTTATTTTTCTTAAATTAAAACCTAGATATGGCTTCTAAGGGATGACAGTGTCAGTGGTGGTGNCACTCAAACACCAATACCAAATTACTATTACAGTGGAACCTCACTTAATGAGCATAATTTGTTCCAGAATCTTACTCATAATGCAAAACACTCATTAAGCAAAACAATTTTTTCCATATAAATTAATGTAAAATACGATAATGTGAAAATACGACATGCCGCAAAAAATACTCAAATATTTTATGTATAACATTTATTCAAAGAAAATTATACAATATGCATCGTTAAAGAGCATAAATCATCGTCATCATTTCTTCTAGCACAGAATGAACCAACCCAAAATGCGAATTTGATTTGCAGAAAATAAAAATTCAAAATTTAATTTGGAANTATTTTATTTTTTTTCATGACCAGAGGTTAAAATATAAGCAATTTCTGTCTCTCAATTTTGCACATTGCTTTCAGACCACCACTCAGCTTGCAGATGCACTTCAAAGTGAAAAATGTGTTAATTTTGATGCTCAGGATAGCAATGTACAGAATGCAATATTACTCCCCAGAGTAGCCTTTGGTGGTGGATTCAGGCATAACTTTGGAGGCACACACTGACCTATGCATCATATACAGGGAGTCACTAATTACATAACATTACATATGAGACATTCTTAAGTATGTGATACCATTTGCACCATATGTTGGTGATAAATTTTTGCTTTTGCAATGCAATGCTAGACTCAAGCTGCACATGTTGTTAGTGATTACCTGAATGAACTTGTTATTAATGTTTTATCCTTGCCAGCATGAAATCCACACCTTAATCCCATTAAGCATGTATGGGACATGCTGGAAAGATAGCTTTGGAATATCTAAACCATTCTATGACATTATAAGAGCTTGAGATTATTTTTTGAAGAGCTTGAGCTCTTCAAAAAAGTGGGAGAACATCTCACAGATGTTGCAAATATGATTAAATCAATGCCCACATGTCTCAATGAGTTGCAGTGGGTACAAGGAGATGGACTGCTTGCATACAGAAAATCTAGAAAACTCCACATGGCCAGGCTGTTGGCAAGGTGCAAACCCATAACCAACTACCGGGGTTCAATGGTTTTATCCACTCAGCCACTGATGTGCTATAAGGTGATATAATACATTTTTAAACACTTTTTTGTGATTATTATGCTCTTTATTGTCATGACATAAAATGGCTTTTTTATTACCTTTCCTTTTTGTTTTTTTCTATCAGAATAAATTTTCTTCATAATTTTAACTAATGTAAAGAAAATGTAACAAAAAGTTATATAACATTGTTGAAATTATTAGAGACAAGCAACAGGAAGAGCTCTTTAAAAATTGCAAGTGATGTGATAATTCTGTCCAGTAGTTTATATGTTTATATATATATTTATTTATTTATTAAGATTCAGGTTTAATATAAAAACAAAGTTTCAAATGTTTTATATATTTAATTTTAAAAATTTAACTTAAAATGAAAATATGAATTGTTGAAGATTTTTATCTTGCTTTACATAGTTTTTTCAATTGAACTGCATTTTAATTTAATTAACATACTTTATTTGCAAAATTGTTCAAGAAACTTACCAGTAAGATCAGCATCTGAAATAAATGAACTACCAGTATCTGAATGATCCATTGTATGTTTCATTGCTGTAGCTAATTCTAGGCCATCCAACTTACTATTATCATCAAAATCATGCATTCTGTAAAGACAAATCAATCTCTTATTCTAACACATTATAAAATTTATATTTAACATTAGAACATAAGTATTAATAATTACAAATAGGACTGCTATTTAAACCTATAAATTTTATTATTTTTAATCACTATCAAATAACATGAAATATTAATATACATATATATTTTATAATTTATATTTGTTGTAATATTTTAAATAACTTTTAATAGCTAATAAGTAATATATTTAATACAGAAATATATATTACTAATTAAAAATTATTTTTAACTTCAGAAATTTTGAAATCCATCATAAAAATTATTCTTTATGATTCAAAGCATATGTTTGCAAAGTAATAAAATAGTCTAGTAATAAAATTGTTTCTTCTAGAGAAATTATGATAAAAATTTAGAACATATCACTTCTATTAAATATTACTTTAATGAAAATTAATAAATTTAATGTTTTATGCTTAATTAAATAAATTTAAAAAAATTATTTTCAAAGCTCTATATTTTTTAATTATATTAAAAAAAAA